TACGAAACGAAAATTCGTTGGCCAAATGTTTTGTCATGATTTTTGTGTGAAGTTTTGCATTGGTTTTTTTTTTCGTCCTTTTTGTCAGTTCCCTTTATGGACCTACTCTTGTTCCGTTGCCAGTCAATGAAAAACGCAAAGACACACTGGATCTCTGTGTGTGTGTGTGTGTGTACATCACTTGGCCCGATTATAGAGCATTTGCCATGGAAATTACTCTGAGAAAGCGAATGAATTGACCGACTGGACAGCTGCTCGCAAATACCTCTGCTGACCTCCGCCCACAAATCTTTATGCAGTTCACAATTTGAGCTTTGCGTAATTAAATTTATGGCATGGACATAGGCGCACATTTGGCCACAAATGCTCGTACAGAAAATGGCAACCTGTTCGCTTCGATTTGTCGGCTTTCAATATTTGCCCGCCACAGATGCTTGTCGCTCTGTGCAAATGTTTTACTTTTGGTCAGGCCAGTACGGGCCCGGATAGGAGGACAGGCTAGGCCAGGCCAGGCCAGGCCAGTTCAGGCGAGACGAGGCGAGGCAGGTTCATAAATGTCCCGGGCCAACATTTGTTTGTTGGCTATTAATTTCGAGTGGACAGTCAGCAGGGCGGGGGCTACGCGGAGGCTACGCGGGGTCCGGGCTCAAATACATATGTACACATGTTTGGGCTTGTAAAAATGTCATGTTAATTTGTGGAGTGTGCGCCCGAATCGAGTCTGGAGAGCGGTCGGTCGGGTTGCGGATACAGTCGTACATGCACATAAATGTCTTACCAATTTTAAGCGCACACCCACACATACATACAACATCTGCATACCCGTACATACCAAGCTGGCGATTGTTATTGACCCGAGCATGGCTTTAAACGGTTTTCTGCAGATTTATGAGTAAATCTGATAAGTGCTGCCAATAAATTTGGTCAACCATTTACATCATGTGTTGTACACGAAGTGCCTCCTACCCTACAAGGTACATCGATTAGTAAACCGTATCCATAGCTACCCGAAGGGGAATGAATCAATACCAAAGTTGAAAGAACATATCAAATTCTTAATCTGTCTGTAAATGCAAACTATTGCTGGGGCTTTTACTATTTAAGAAGAGCAAATCGTCTTTATGGTTATAAATAATCTGTTCAAAGAACCAACGAAAATATTTAAAGATATTGATTCGTGGCAGAGTAGAATTATTCTTATTTAAGTTTTTAAATTTGTCGAGTTTTATTTAAAAACAAAGGACAGCCATTTGTAGACATTAAGGTCGATGACTAAACGCTGAATGATTTTTAAGGCTCAAGTCAACCGTTCTTTCAATTCGTTACATCTTTTTTTGTTGAGTCTAAGCCTTCATTTGAATTCCTGGAAATACTAATGTTAAGTAGTGTATTGACTTTTCGTATAAGACCTGACTTTTTCTACACCTTTACATAGGTCCATGGACTACTACGTACATATATGTATACACACACTACATTGCATATAAATAATAATGTCTTCATTTGTTTCTGCCATGCCAGGTCAATACATGTTCATTGTATTTTGAAGACTTTATAGCAAATAAGATTCAAGAATATATGAAGCATTGAATTATTAATTAAGAAGGAAATAATAGATGTTGACTCCTTTTTATATCTGAATAATTTTATCAATTCGTTTTATTCAAATATTCATTTGGATAGTATTTATGGCATTCTTAAGAATTTTTACCTATAAATAATTTATCTTTAACTTGTTCACCCAACCTAACTTACCCTGAATATATAAATTATATTTGCATTACGATATGGTGTCCAAACATCGTACTTATGCCTCCATCTATTCAATTGGAATGGCGGGTATAAAATGAATCGCTATGAAGGTTCCTGGTATCCTTCTCTGGGTTGTACTTATATGTACATTGACACGAAATAGTATACCTATCCAGCCTGCTCGACTATAACATTCGTCATGGGATGCAGCTGTTTTCTAATATATCCGTTTAAACCTTCGAATGCAGACCATACCATATTTAAATATGTGCAGCTTCCTATTCGGTACCGTCCCTATTCTTTATTTTGTATTTGTGGTAGTAAGGCAAAGATGTTATTCTAGACTATCGACAAATGCTAGCAAAATATTAAAATACCCTCAATTCAATAGCTAATAAGATAGTCGATAGGGTTTTCCTGAGAAGGTAGAACAGCAACTACTAAAAGATTACTATTTTTTCTATTTAAGTATATAAGTACATAGTTTCGTGTGCTTTCGAGCCCACAAAAATATGACGTATGTTGATGCTAACATGAGGTTGCCACAAAACAATAAAATGGCTCTAATAAATGTTGCTAGAAAATATTCCAAGGTTGTGCCTTCTGTTAGTCCTGCTGCTGCTGCTGCTGCTCCCTGCTGCCTGAGGCCTGCTTTCAAGCGGAAATTGCACATTTTGCAGAAAAGTGGAAGGAGATGTGGAGAATAAAAGGAATTAGGAATGCAATTTGAGGTTATGTTGGCATTGTGCGCTCTGTGGGAAAAGGAGCTGCTCGCTCCTAGCCATACAATACCCGCACATACACACACAACCACTCAAATAGCAGACAAGCGCATTTGTTTGCATATTGTTTGTATGTATTCATAAGTGTATGTGTGTGTGTGTGTGTTTGTTTGTGTCAGTTAGGAGGAGAGACAGTTAGACAGACAGTTGGACAGCGATGCAGATGGAAGCTCTGACAGTTGGAGCCAAGTTGCCACCATCAACATTGCTCTTGGCTGTTGTTGCCCGTTCTGTTTGACCCACACACACACACACACCCAACCCCCCACCCACCAACACAGCTGCACAAATATTAATAGACAAAATTTTGAGTATTGCTTCCATCATGAATATAATTTTGTGCAGCTACGCATAACGAACTGACGACGGACATATACTCCTACACAAATATACAGACAGCTAACTTTTGCTCCCGCAACTACGCCCCAACCCACCACATGACCACACCACCCTTAGCGAGGGAAGAGGGTGGAGCTCTTACCGCTGAGATATACGTCAGTTTCCTTCGTGGCTGGTTCTACTTCAAAGTTTTCCAAATGTCCATTCGCCTACGATTCAACGTCCATTTAGCTGTCTGTTTTTGTGGGTTTTTAATTTTAATGATTCTACCCCCACCCTCCCCTCCCCGGCCACCCTGCTGCCAGAGGGTCAAAATTGTAAAATTCAAATAAAAACAGCAGCATCTCCAAAATCCTCAAGCAGAACAGTTCTAGGGCGTGTGCATTTTATGTGCGCATTGGGAGCTCCATGCATGGTAGTCGTGATTGCGACTAAGCTGCGGAAGAGGAGAGGATGCGGGCTCGGTTGGTTTAAATGAGATTATTTTAGTTTAGCAAACATTGTTGAAATTTTGGGAAATGTACATATCTATACACACATATCTATATGTACTTGTATTTGAAATGCTTTTGCTAACCTGTGGCTGAATGAAGGCGAATCTGTTTCGCACGCTCTTGTAAGAGCGTTGAGAGCCTCCCTAAAATAATCCTCTGTCTTTTTCGGCTATATTATATTATATGTCCTATATGCCAAAACCGCCTGCAAAATATATTTCAAGAAAGACTAACTGTGACCAAGTTTTGATAGAAATTAGGAACAAGAAGAGTACAGCACCACTAAATTGTATTTGTTTGTATTTGATCCGAGTTGAAATTGGATTGAAATATTATTAAAAGTCAGCTGTGGAACACTTGACTCAATCATTCTTATCTTAGAGAATTCCTTTGAAGATCGTTTACTCTATTAATACCTACATATAGTATGTATGTATTTATTAGTGTACTAGGAGATTTGGGTGTGTTTCGCCGCACAGTATTTTAGCGGGCACTAAGTACTTTTCGCCTTGTGGACGAATCATCCTATTTGCTATTCAATAGTGCTGCCAGTTCGTCGTAACTCTACTCTCTATAAATAACATTCAACTTTCGAACGAAACTTCGCACATATCCAAAGCAATTGGGGAAAAAACACGAACAAATTTCTGAAAAATACTAAATTCGCGATTAAAATATCCAAACTTCAAATAATGAAGATAAAAACTATCCTATGTCCTAAGTTAGACCCAATTATAGACAATGTGACACGAGATTTTTATATGTAGTACTCGTATGAGGATAAATGCTGTTAGGTGTAAGCCTTGCTTTCTTGGTTTAAGCCAACCTGGCGCCAGAGCTTTAACAGACGCCAATTTGTAAAAATGAAATCTAACCAACAAATGGAATAGCAAAAACAAAAAGGAAGAATAATCGACCGTAAGATTTATGGCAACCAAATAGTGCCCCATAAAATATTCACACCTTCGTTCGCCAGCCAGAATCTGACAAACACACACAGTTCCAGAGCACCTACACGGTACTGTGAGTGTGTGTGTGTGTGCACAAGCTGATGCCGTTAGTCCGATAACGCCATTGTTTATATTCTCTCAGTCAGTCGAATTGCATTTTGGCCATAAGTTGGCAACATTTTTTATGCGTTCATCATGTGGTCAGCATAAATTTTTCATTGTTGGCCGTTCGCTTTGGTCGATATTGTTGGTCAGCTCGTTTTTTAAGCAAATGTCTTGATATCGCCCCTTCTCTAGCTGCAACACGTTGCCAATTTTGATGTCTGAATGCCATAAATCAAAGCGCTTAAAGAGCGAACCAACTGCGGACTCAGAGTCGCAGTCGCAGTCGCAGTCGACGTTTTGGCCGAAGAGTGAAATTCGCCGCCAAATGCATTTTTGCCCGCCAGCGAGGAGTGTGAAAAGTTTTGCATTAACTTTTCATTGCTGCTGTTGTTGTTATTGTTGTTGTTGTTCTGATGTGTCTGTTGGTTGTGATGGCTAGCGGTGTTGTTGTTGCTGTGGTGTTTGCGGCTGCGGCTGAATATGCAAAACCTATATACATACATATGTACATATACTATGTATGTACATAGCTTTACCAATGGCTCATCAAATTGAGGTGCACGTGCACAGCACACGCCTTAAAGGTTTCCATCTTTCATTTTATTCTCTTTTATTGCACAAACTTTAAGCTGCAAATGGATTTGTTGCCATAAAAAGCGGATAATAAATTGCATTCGAGGCAATTAAATGAGAAATTTTGCTAACACAGAAAACATTAGGATGCACACTCTTAGTTGGTCCAATCATAGCCACAATTTAGTCGTCTACCGCCAATGGGGAATCTTGTTGCCTGTAAAAATGATGGTAAGATGATTATTAGAAAGGCAAAATGAATCCTATGTTTATTTTAAATTTAAATTTAAACAAAAACTAACTTGGAATTCCTAAACTTCTCGTTGTGTTGCTTGCTTATCATATACTTGTATTTCATTTATGCCTACAACTAACTTATGTTATTCGTTTTAATAGGTATTCAATATTGTAGAATTTGGGGAAGTCCGGGAGTTTATTTTAACAAAGGTTTGCTTAACACTGAATAGTAATAAGGGAAAGAACACTTCTAGAAACCCGCTGACATTTTTAAAAACTGTTCGTAGCTATACCCTATTCCTATTTCCGCAAAACGTAAACCATATTTTAACCAAACATACCTCGAGAAAACTTGTTCTGATCCGAACTAGATGGAGAGCTGGAAATATTGTCATTAGAAAAAATATTCAACATAATAGTCGTCAGCTGCTTACTTCAAACCATTTCTAGCCTCTTTACAACCATTGCTCATCTCGTAATGGGAACGCATGCGGTGTTGCTTTTGCTCCTGTTGTTGCTGCTGCTGTTGTTGTTGCTGCTGTTGTTGCTGTTGTTGTTGTTGTATATACTGAGGCGTTATATTGGCTAGACCGCCTTGATTGTTATAGGCCCACATGTTATAGCCGCCATTTGAATAATTTTGGCCCATTTCAGTGCCATTGTTGTACGCCTTGGGCGACATTTCATTGCCACCAGTGTAAGTTTTGGAAGCCATGCCACCAGTCTGAGCACCATTTTGTCCGTTACCGTAGCCATTGCCATTGCTTCCGTAGCTGTTTCCCATCCAGTTAGGTGAGGACATCTGGTACATTTGTTGCTGACCACCGCCTCCGGACATCCTTGATGCTTGCACAGTGCTCGAGGTTCCATTGGCGTAGTAACCGTTGTTGCCGTTATTTCCGTGATTGCCGTGAGTCCCGCTATTGCCGTGATTGCGATTATTACCATCGCCATTGCCACCATAGTTGCCCATCCAATTGTACGGCGATGCTTGGTACGTTGACTGCTGGCCGCCCCCAACACCACCACCGGATAACCTGCCTCCCTGCTGTCCTTGCATTTGGGGCATTTGACCCATGGCCGACATGGGCTGCAGATCCGGAACTACCGCATTCATGCCGCTCGCATCGATCGAACCCATGGGGCCACCCATCATCATGGGAATTTGTGTCACGCTATTGAGCGGCGTTACCGCCCCAGGTGGCAGTTGAGTCATCGTGGGCTGCGACATTATCGGCAACTGGGAGAAAGAACCTTGCGGCAGCTGCTGCATGCCACCCATTGGCAGCTGCTGCATGGTGTTTCCAGCTACCGGCGAATATGGAAACTGTCCAGCAGTAGGCAGCTGTGGCATGTTCCCCATTGGCATCTGCATCTGGCCCATCGAAGTGCCGCCCATTGGCGACATACCCATGGACATAGGTGCGTTCTGCAGCTGGCCAGGCGGCATGAAGCTCATTTGGTTGACCGGTACGATCTGAGCAGAGACAAGTCTGGAGCATAACAATCTTTAATAGGTACATAACACAATATACATACCTTGCTGCCGTTTTGATCTGCGGTTAAAGCGAAATCGGCCTCATAGGGAATCGAATAGTTCATGTTCATGGTGCAATCTTCTTCAGATTTTTTAAAATGTACAAAATATTCCAACTAAAATTTTGTCGAACTAATTTCAGAATTTTTTTGTTTATTTTTTGTGGGAATAGATCTGAACCCTACTAAAAATTGAAATAAAATGAATATCCATGTTCGTGAAGTTTGTATTTTACTTTGACGGCTGTCGTTCAGGCCTACTGCAATGCAGTTTTATTTATTAGCGACACATTGATCTGGCTATCACATCCCGTACTGTCAGATATACAAGTATATACACACATATGTACCTGAGCGTTTCTTAAATCTGTCTTGTTTTTACTCTTGAAACTTTTTTTGGCACCTTGTTAGATCGTGAAGAATTGGACCCAGGAAGTAGTACTGGGTACTCTAACTCGCATAATTTTTAACCCTTCGATACCAAGAACTTTGATTACTAGTACATATTTTTATGCCATATTTTATTGAATAATTGTGCTGGAAGATAACTTTCTGCCTGTTCGACATTTTCTATAGATTATAATGATCTCGAGGTATTTCTTCGTTAGTACCTAGAATGATCTTATCTTATAGAGCAAGCCCTCTATTACAAACTATGTATATACAAGCATAGTGTCAATATTTTATATCGATCGGTGTAAAAATCACTCTTAATCGGTTAACGTTTTTCGTTCTAGAGTAAATCTGGTATTAACCATACAACATATAGATGTTTCATTTCCTACAACGAAAACGACCCTATAAGTCATTTCTAAGTATATCATTAAAAAATCGTTTTATTTTCGTTGAATGGTAGTAGCGGGAAAAAAATTAAGTTTTTTCGTTTTTTTAGGTGAAGTTGCTTAACTAATTAATAGCAGTTATGTGGTATACTATGCTTAAACGATGGGATATCGGATAGTTCAACAGCAAGAGCCACAAAGTTAGTTGGGTTCTGGAAAGATTATATTTGGAATTAGGGTAGTGCCAAATATGTATGAATATTTATTTAATTACTTAGCTAAGTTCGTTTCGTGTGCTTCTTTCTCACTATGTACTTGAATTCCATTAAATTTGACCAATTAACCGTTAAGCAATCAATACTTGTACCCGCTCGTGTGCTCTCTACGGGAAAACGTGATCAGCTGAAACGCTCCCCTCACCGCGTAATCGCTATGCTGTTACTGCCTCCCCCTCAGTACCTGTCGTCCCTTGGTGTACAATTAATTTTACCTTTTGCCTGTCACTTCATTGTTTATCTACATAAATACGAACACTACCACGGTACGCTCCTGCAGTGTCATTTATTCAGCTCAATTGTGGCAGAAAGCAAGTCAGGAGCGTCAACGTCAACGTAACCATTGGCAATGAGCTGAGCAAAAGCAATAGCAAGAGTCCTGCTAGCGGATATCCTTGCTGGCGTAGTTGCCACACCATTTATGCCATTAAGTCATTAGCTTTGTTTAACAAATAACAAACTGTCAATGAGTTGATTAACGATGTTTTTCGCATGAACTGCAATTAGCCGCCGCCGTCGCGTCCGCCACTGATAAATGGGAGTGATTTTGTGCCCTTGTTGCCGCGGTGCGGACCTCAGAGAATTGCCAACAAGCGATGGCTGTGGGCTTCTCCTTTGTCACAACACTTGGCCAAGTAAGCGCCGCGTTATTGATGCGCTCTAGCTATCACCAACAGGCTATGGCCTTTGGCAGCCCGCGGCAATTAATGCGTGCGTGAGTGTTTGTGTGTATGGTTCCAAGTCATCAACATGGCCGCAGTCGTCGTCGTCGTCATCATCACTAGCGCCGTCACCATCAATGCCAGCAACGGCGACAACGTCAACGCAATTACCCGTTGACAAGTGTACTGTCAACCCACTCTTGTCCTCGCCAACCTTCGGCGTCGTCAATACTGCCATCCTGTTGCTGATGTTGTGTTGGTGTCGACCTGATGCGCTTCACCTCTTACCAGCATCCCGACGACATATCTGCACTTTATTCTACAAGTACAAGGAGAAGCTTATGTATTATACGAGGTATTAAGTTGAAAACCTTGTGCATAAACTCAATAAAACTTTCAATCGTTTGTGTGCATGGATTTGACTTGCACCTATAAATAAAAAATTTGCATTTGTTAAATCAGATAGCTAATAACTAAATCCGATAGCTATAAGTTTATTTTAAATCAGTATTCTACATTATCCGGCACAACAAAACTAACCTGGTATACCATGTATATCAACTGAAATATTAAAAGAGATTTCTTGGAATTCTTAACACTTCCAATATAGTTTAACTTATAACTGTTTCTAAATCCGTATCAAAGGATATCCGTCAGTCCGCTATTCTTTCAATTATTTCCCGCAGTCTTAAAGCTATCGATATTATTATTATTAGTTTTTAAAAAATAACTATATTATAATAACTTTCATTTTAATTATTATTCAATTATTAATATTAGTCATATTATTTTCCATAAATAAATTCGTAATTGCGAGTATTATGCACAGAATACTTTGTTTTTGGAATTTGAGAACAAAATGGAGCCCTGGACAGCAACAGAAGCAGTTACGAAGCAGAGGGTGGGAGGGGACGTGAAATGAAAGCACATCAAATAAATTAGTTTTGTGCGCCGCTAATTGCCTTCGCCAAAGTTAATTACAGCCAAATTTGAAATTTCAGACTTGTTGTTGTCAAAACCATTTCTATATTTGCCACTAGGAAATTAGTTTTACACACTTGTTAGCGTTCTATTAATACCCGACCTCCCTTATTTCTGGCCAGGCGTATACTGCGCTGCCACTTAGCAGGCTCGTTATTACAAATTATTATCCATTATGACTAACTGTCAAAAATTGAAACCATATCAATTGAAAAATATAACTGCATACAACCAAGCAGGCAGTATTATTTGAAAAGTAATAATTCATTTCATTTTGTTTGGCAATCGTTCGTACATGACATAAATTGAATCGAGGCTCATGTTTAAACAAATTCAAACGGTTTTAATTAAAAGCGGTGTCAACAACGCTCAAAATCAATCTGATTACATTACATTAAAATGTCAATTTTGGTGTTGCTTAAATAAAATGCCAACGATTGTCCCTCTTAGTGGGTTAGTATTTGTATTGGATTTTGGCACAAATACACTCGGTTTGATCTAAATATGCAAATAGAAATTGTTGAGTGAGCGATTTTATACATTTAGCTGAAATCGATACATTATTAAAAATAGTTTTTGTTGTTTGAGTATGGCTGTGATTGTGCTAAGCTAAACTTTGGGCTGAGCATACAGATTACCTAATATCTAATAATTCTTTACCTGAAATGCAATCTGCAAACATTTAGAAATAAAATTAATTTAAAGATTCAAATAAAATTTGAATCTTGTGGTATGAGTTTACATCATATATGATATTTTTATAGAATCTACGATCTGACTATGTGTTTCCCATCGCTTTGTATCGATTTCTTGATTCTTTCTCTGGAAGTTGTTGCAGAGAAAGTACTTTGTATTTAATTAAATAATTAATAATGTTAGCAACTCTGAATCGAAAATTAGAGTAATTTTATTATGCAAAAGCTTAAACAACTGAAATAATGTTGAGAGAAAAAGCCATAATCTTATTCAGACAAAACTGACTTGATCGTTAAAGTCACAATCAAAAATCGAGCATCTCCTCTAGCTCGGTATTACAAAATATTACTTAACTACGAACTATTCACATACTCGTATAGTACTTACATACTATATAGTATGTAGCATGTTCGTGCGTAGCTGTATCCTTCACTTTCCATTGTCTGCATGCTAATTAGGCATGCATGCAGGAAAGTCGAGTCAGTCAGTCAGTCTTTGATTTAGCACCTAAACTGTGTTGAACAAAGGCGTCATTAATTAGAAATGTAAAGATGATGAAAACTAATCTGCTAAAAGCTTCTTAGCGAACACTGCGCTCATTTGTCTGCTAGGATCAGCTTTATTAACCCGAACGCCGTGCGGGTGCCAACAAAGTGGCGTAGAGGACGCTGTTTGCAGAGAGTGTAGTGGGAATTCGCACACTCCATACCACACCTACACCCAAGGGCTTAGGCAGCTTTTACCAAAGGGGGGGAAAAAAAATTAAAATTTTGATTAAATAATGCACGATGCATTTAAAAAATAACTTATGCATATGATCAATGAAAAAGCTTCAACAAATCCAACTCAGATCCATTTTAAGGCGAAATAATGCGTCATAATAATGAACGTGTGGTCGACATTATATGGCAAAATTTTTTTCCCCCCTGCCTACGCCCTTGCCTACACCCACATCTACACCCACATCTACACCCACATCTACACCCACACATACACCCACACATACACCCACTCACACACCCCCAACTGCTTTTAATACAGCTGGCAATACTTTTTGTGCTCTCAGACAATGTTGCCCGATATGCGCCGAGCTAAAATGCACCGACTTCGAAGGCAAAGAAGAAAGACTACAATAAAACGAAGAACAAGAAAAGAGTGCAGGCAAGGCAAGGCAACAAAATAAGCGAACAACTAGCGAGATTCAGCCTTGCTGGGGCGCCATGTAGCACAAGGAAAAAATCTGTGCAAATCACAAAATTGCACAGAATAATGTTGGTGTGGGGCAGCAGTAGCGCAGTAGTTGAGTGGTTGGGGAGAGGTGAGTGGTGAGTGGCGAGTGGCAAGTGGCATGGCAGTGTTGGTGCAACGAGAAACTCTGTGTGTTTAGTGAAGTAGAAGCTCAAATCGAATCGCTGCTGGGCAACGCTTACAACTGCCAGCTAGACCATCGAAGTTTGAGCCATAAACTAAGTTGTAGCGGCCACCAGTAACTGTGCATCTGTATGTGAGTGTCTCTAGATACATACATACATATGTACACGTACGTATGTAGCCGTATTGTATCTTCGTGCAGCTCATGACGCCGCTGCATGACGCTTGGCCGAGTGCAAATTCAATTAACTTGTTACAACACAATCTCAGGATCAGCCCAGAAAAAGCAACAGCAACAGCAGCAGCCATCAGCCAGCCTGATGGCAACGACGTCGATTGCTGCCAATACCGTCGGTACTGGGATTTGCTAGAGCAGCACTAAAACTAAAACACTACTCGAATGTTTCGC